CAGGCGTGCCCAGACCACCCTAGATTTAGGCTAGATATGAAATATTTGCGGGGGGCGAGGGTGGGCTAGGCTGACGTGCCTGGTGTGCACGGACCGACCCATATTCGTCATAAATTTGGACTTGATATGAAAGGTGCCGGACAGCGCGGCCGTTTGGAGCCGATTTGAGACGCTCGGATGAGTTTAGTTTTTTTGACCGGTCAATGACCGATCCGTCCCATCCAAGTGTTTGAGACCGGTCTGAAGCGTCCGACAATAGATCTCTTAAAGTATCTCTAAGTCGCGTGATATAAACTTTGCGATGGAAAAATACTGTTTTTTACGTGAGCGCAGCCGATCCGGACGCTTCAACGAAGGTGCAAAAAACACGCGCGCGGCATAAGTGATTCAACGTGCGGAACGAAACGGCATCGCGTGCCGCTTATTTCATGAGCCCGATTCCTGGCTACCGGCCTGTGGACGACATCGCTGCAAGAAAGCTTACGACGACATGGGCGGGAAGTAGTGGACGAAGTTCCGAGACTGGGAAACGATCGAGCAGGCAGGTGATATGTAGTCCAGTCGCTGGGATTAGCGTGACATCTCGCCGCAGACTTCCTCTCGTGCGGGGACCCGCCCGGTGGACGTACGAGCAGTACACGGCCGTTGGACCGAGTCTCCGCTGCAGTAGCTAGCTAGCTTCATGCACCCCAACGCCAACGGCCAACGCCACGGTGGCTAGGCTAGCTCGGCCACACCCCTGACCGGATCGGAAGGTGGCGCACGGTCGCCGGTGTCGCTGTTGCCGGTCGGGCTTTGTTATCCGACTTTTATGAGGATATATCTGGACGCGTTTGAAATGGTAATATATAGTGAGTGAGGCGTCGCTGTTGCGTGAGGTTGCGGCGGCGTTGCACGTCGAGTTCCGGTGTGCGCACGAGGGACGTCCGGGCGCGGTGGGCGACCGGCCAGAGATGCTCCGGCCGCACGGCTCGGCTCGGCTTGCCGTACCGTCAGACCCGGCCGCACCTCAGGCACAGCCGCACTGCAGGTTGAACCAGTCCCCTCTATCTGTCTCTGCCGCGGCGGTGTCATCGCCTCCCGTGCCGACAGTAGTTGCTTAGAGCATCTCGAGCCGTTGGCTCCTAGACGGCTTGAAAAATCGCCGCCTGGGGTGAACCGGTGGTAAAATCGGCCTGGAGCGGTTGAGTTCCTAACCGATGCCTCAGGGTCGGCCACATACGCTTGTTTTTTTTTTTGAACGTTTATTTGACTAAAATTCGGCGAATGGGACAAATATTCGGTGAAACAGTGCATTATTTTGACGAACTGAAATAATTTTTTACATAGATAAAAGACTTAAAAAAATAAACGCGACTACAGGCTGAATAAGGCGCTGAGAGAGGCGAAGTCTCTGCCGTTGCCGCCGCTGCCGCCGTTGTCCTCGTCGTTCTTCTCTTCCTTCACGCGTCCACCCCTAATGGACCCCTGGCGGACCGGTGGTGGCAGCGCGTCATCCTCGCTGTCGTCCCTCGTTGTTCGCTGTTCTTGACGCCCCCACCACCGGCTCCTCGTTGGTGGACGCTAGTTGCTGCGCCTACCGGCGCTGGAAGTACGCCGCCCACGACACATGGTTGTCGGCGCCGTACTGCGGGAGGGCGCGCTGCTCCTCCGTCAGCGACGCCCGCATGCGGTCGACCTCGGTGGTGAAGAGGCCGGGACGCGCGTCGACGTCAGGCACCGGGGGAATGGGGACTCCACCGGCGCTGAGTCTTCACCCCGTTGGCCCGGCGCGCATGTCTGATGGTGCCGGAATGTTCGCCTCGAAGAAGAGATAAGCCTCCCACTCGTGGAGCGAGCGGCGGCTGAAGCCGTTGGTCGCCACCCCATCGCCAGGGAACCGCTCGTCCATCGGATGGGCTTGGGGAGAGAGGGGAGGGGAGGAACATCGTCGGCGGCTGCGCCCGGGGAGAGAAGCAAAGCTCGGCGGCGGCTGTGGGTGGGTGCGGCCAGAGGCGAGGGGAGGCCTTGCTTTTATAACCGCACGCCATGTGTACGCGTGGCGGGAAGGGAGGCGTCGCCGCGCCGCCCGCGAAGCGCCGCCCGTGAGGAATCAATGGCAAGGCTAAAAGGCGGCAGCCTTGCCATTGATTCCCCGTGAGAAACCAAGGCGTTGTGAGGACGACGAGGCGAGTGTCGCTGACTCGGCGGGCCCGCAGCTCTTTCGCGCCAAAACCACTCACCCCAGCGCCTCCGGGCGCCCCCCAGCGCGCCGGGTTTGGCTTGGGTCCGCCGGCGCTAGTTTCGGTCCAAACCGACGAAAAACGGGCTCCTGGACGTGACTGGGCCGATTTTTGGACGCCGGCGCGGAAAAATCGCCTGGGGAGGCTGTTGAGGACGTGGCTGGAGATGCTCTTAGGCGTGACCCGGCGCCCGGCGGTCACTTCCAACCGTGGCCTGCTCGCGTTTGTGTTTTGACCAAAACCCATGTTTGAACTAGTACTCCTTCCGTTTCATAATACAGTGCATATATATTTTTTTAAATTAAACCTCACAAACTTTGACTAAATTTGTGAATAAAAATATAGAGCATAATTGGTTTGCTACCAATATTTGTCTTGCCAAATGTTGGCATTGGCAAATATTGGCAATACCAAGACCTACCAACTATTGGTAACTTTATGTGAGATAGACAAAACAACTTGTAGACAACCAAGTAGTTGCCCCTCCAGGCGAACCAATTTTTGGCAGCAAACCAATTATACTCATATACATCTAGAATGCCAAACATGACGCCCCTCCAGGCGACCATGGGGCGAAACCTTACGCCCAGCCGCCATCACCTCCCCCCTCCTCCCGCCCCTCATCGCCCTCGAGGCTGCCGCCGGCAAAGCTTGGCGTCGCCGGTGAAGGGGGCGGCGGGGATATGCTACCTCCCGTCCCCTTGTGTGGTGGTAGGAGGAAGACCACCATTCTGGACGTCGATCGATCTTAGTGCCGCCGGATCGGATCTGGCACGCAGCGACCGCGGGCCATGTGTGGCGATTCGGCGGCCTTCTCCCGCGCGTGGCGGCCCCGTACTCCTCTGACAATGGAGACCCATGATCTGGCGATGATCCGATTGCGTGGAGCGGCGGGATCCCGGTGACGAGCGCGAGCTGACGTTGATAGCGGAGGCGCGACTGCTCCACGACGGGTGCGTACATGAGCACCGATCTAGCGCGGCCCAGATGGGCTTGGGCGGGTGACGACTCTCGTTCGTGACTCCAGGCTGGTGCAGTGGTGCCTGACGGCGCCGGTTGCTAGGCACCGTGGTGGTGCCGGT